AAACGCCTCTAAACTTTCCATAATCGCATTGGCTTTCGTTCTGCTTACGAACTGATATCTGTCCATTAACTGGAATTGACATCACTTCAGCGTGTATCCGCAAATATGCGAGCGCAAAAACTTTGTCGGATCGAACACTTACGTGTTGTCATGCCGGACAGGTGATCACCCTGCACGCACAAGGGAATTTCCGCTGCTTCGTTTGCGAGGGCTCCGCTATTAGTGCATGCAGCAGCGACCTGGCGATTCAACGCTGCGTCAAGGTCGCTGGAGGTGGCGCGAATGTCCCAGAGTGAACAAATACATGCTCTCCCCGCTGGCTAATAGTAACCAGTGGTTACGGTCCTATCCGTATCTCACTGCTATTACACGGCGGAAGTAAATGGCACATTCCCTTCATTTCAGTGTTCGCAAGAGTCCTGCGGCAAGACACATCGAAAAGCTCCAAAACGAAAAGGAGCATCGCACGATTACGCCTCAGTCAAGGGCCTGCGCGGTCACACAGGAAGGTACTGTACAGTACATGTAGAGACAAACCGGGGAGACGAGACTCACACACAGCATCATTGTTGATGCTCAGATCCCTTCATTCAAAAACACCACCACGAGGGTCAATTTCTTTGGAAAAATTGTTGTACGGCTCGCATTTGCTACTAAAGGGTGGGTGGTCTCTGGTCACGCTGCTGGTCACACTACATGTAGCCTCCACATGATCAACTTACGCATTTCACAGTACAGTCTGCACTTACAGCGCCGACGCACCAACGACGGGGTTCACGAGCTTGCCAATGCGCTCAATCTCGATCTCTTCCATGTCTCCTGGCGCAAGGAAAAGCGGTGGGCTGCGTGCGACGCCAACACCCTGTTCACACAATATTGAAGTTAGTACAGTTACACCAGTAATCAGCAATAAATCCAAATCTTACCTCCGGAGTTCCCGTGAGGATAAGTGTGCCCTTGGGCAGCGTGCAATCTTGCGAGAGCTGACTGATCAGCTTGGCTACCGAGAAGATCATGTCGCCCGTGTTGGACTTCTGCACTTGCTCCCCATTGAGGTACGTTGCGATCTCGAGCGTCTGTGGGTCTGGGATGATCTCGGGTGTAATAAGCACCGGTCCTAGTGGACAGAAGGTGTCGAACGTCTTGGCACGACACCATTGGCCTCCTCCCTTCTTGCCCTGCCAGCGACGCGCTGAGATATCGTTGGCACAGGTGTAGCCACCGACGTAGGTCAATGCCTCCTCCTCCGTCACGTTGCAAGCAGCTTCCTTCAGCACTACAGCGAGCTCGCATTCATAGTCGACCTCAGGAGGGTCCGAGGCAACGCGGGGAATTACTACGGGGTCGTGGGGGTGCTGTAGGGCGTTGATGCCCTTGGTGAAGAGCACGGGGAACTTAGGCTCGGGCATGTTGGTCTCCTTGGCGTGTTTGCGGTAGTTAAGGCCAATACCCAGAATCTGAGAGGGAACAACGGGCGCCAGCACCTTTTCGATGGTGGCGGTCTCGCCTGTGAAGTGCAGAGAGCCCAGAGGATCGTCGTCCTCCACAAGCATCGCAGTGGAGCCGTCATCCGTGCGTTGACCGCAGCGAATGGCTCCGTTCTCGTCCACGAAGCGAGTGAGCGCCGTGGCCTTGGCGCTCGTCGACGAGATGATGCGGCGGGAGGAGAGGCTCATGGGGAAGATACGGGGACTGGCGGAGCGAAGACGCACAAGACGCAACAAAGTCATCTGCAGATCCGAGGTCTTGACTGGGCTGGCAATTCTATGCAAGAGGGTTGTGTAATCACGTTCTTACAAAATAATATGTGAATACTTCTATATGTATTAATATAGAAGTATATGATTTGTCGCACAAGTGCGTCGATTTGGCCCAATCAGAAGCACGGATTAAGCATGTAAATTCATTTTATAATGTAAATCTACTCACAATTAACGTATATTTTGCTTTCCAGATAGATGACCGCCAGGTTACACTTTGGGGTACGACATGTCGGTGAGCACGGCGCATGTGCCCATGCCCTGCGGACTGCGGCTGATGCGTACGTAGCCGTCCTCGCCCCAGTCAGTGCCCCAGGAATTCTTGATCTTGATAGTAGTGGCGTCGTAGCCGACGGCAAGCACAGCGTGGTCAATTGTCGCGACGTTGCAGGATGTGATAACTCCGCTTCTGTACTGCTTCCACGCCGAGTTATTCGATATTACCGATACGACAACGGGCTGCTTCTTAACGGCTCCTAGGAGAGCGCTTTCATCACCGGCTTTAAGCCTTACAATGTCAGTGATGCCCGACTTGACCGGGGTGCACGTCTTCACACAAGCTGCAGCGGTTCCACCTTCCACCGACGTGTACGGGTAGCTGCTGTCCGTGCAGACGCCGTTGTCGTGGAGATACTGCATCGCGTACACCGGGGCGCCGCCATTGCAACCAAAGTCCTTCGTGTCGCAGCTCACGAGTTGTTGCTCCGAATACGCAGGCACATTCTTTTGGCCATTAGCAATACACTGCGCGGCTTCCAATGCACCCAGGCTGGCGAACGCCCAACAACTACCGCATTGGCCTTGTAGACCAGGAGGGTTGACACATTTTGTCTTGCTCCAGTCTACTGAATCCGGATCGGAGTCTCTGGCCGTGTCGGAATCAGTTGTAGACTTGGTAGTCGTCTCCTTTTGTTTCGTTTTGGGAGCCGCTGGGGCCGGAGCTGGAGCTTTAGTGGCAGGAGCTTTAGTAGCAGGGGCTTTCGTAGGTGGAGCTTTGGTCGCGGGACGTTTGGTAGCTGGACGTTTCGTCGCAGGAGCAGGTGTTGTAGAAGGGGGTGCCGGAGGAGCCGGAGCAGGAGGGGCAGGAGGAGCTGGAGCAGGAGGTGCCGGAGGTGCTGGAGCGGGAGGTGCCGGAGGAGCTGGGGCAGGAGGAGCTGGGGCAGGCGGTGCCAGAGGAGCTGGAGCGGGAGGGGCCGGAGGAGCTGGAGCAGGAGGTGCCGGAGGTGCTGGAGCGGGAGGTGCCGGAGGAGCTGGGGCAGGAGGAGCTGGGGCAGGCGGTGCCGGAGGAGCTGGAGCGGGAGGGGCCGGAGGAGCTGGAGCAGGAGGGGCTGGAGCAGGAGGATTGTTGGCACTGGGGGGTGTCCACTGATTATTAGGTGGCGGAGTCCACTGGTTATTAGGTGGCGGAGTCCACTGATTGTTTGGCGAGCCCGTCGGTTGGCCCCAACTGTTCCACCAGTTGTTGCCGTTGTTGCCGCTGTTACCTACCCAAGTGTAAGTTCCCCAGCCATTAGTTCCCCACCAGTTCCCGTTATTGTTACTGCCAGTTCCACCTGACACTACAGCAACATTGGCACTGTCCCCAGTGGAAACATCTTTAAAGCTCCATCCTTGGTTCATGTTGCCTCCATTGTTCGTGTCACTGGCAGGGTTAGCTTGATAAGTCTGCGGGGTGCTCTGGACTTGGTATGTTTCCTGTGAACTCTTGACATATGTGTCCGCTGTGCTCTGAAACCCTTCGCCTTTGTTGCTGTAGTCGCCTCCGTTGTACGAGTACTGACCCTTGCCTGCGTTATGAAGCCGACGCACCATTGGAACGACCACCGGGCCCTCAGTTGCCGGAGCCCACGTTTTCTTTTCGTCGTCGTCATGTTTATCGTTTCTTTTCGACTGCTTCTTGTCATCGTCCTTATTCTTTGATGTAGTTTTCTCCTTCTCCGACAAAGTTTTGGGCTTCTCGACTGGCGGGGGATCAGTCTTGTCAGTTTCGTTAAGATGCGAGTTCGAAAGGAACTGCTTGAATTCGTCCATCGTCATGAGCGTGAACGGACCGTCCGTGCTGAACTCGGCCATCGGATTCAGCGCTCTCGCTTCTTCAATTTGTTCCTTGGTTATATAGAATCGCTGCAGCTTGTTTTCCAGATCATCGTCCGAGCTTCGTGACTCCGTCACAGGAATAAAGCCATTCTTCGGTCCGTTATGGTCGTATATCTTCAGCCACTCGTTCAGCTCCTCTTTAATTGTTTCCCGCTCCGCCAAGTACCGATGGTATTTGGGAACAATTTCTGCATGCATCGGTCGCGCCTCCACTTTATCCGAGAGAGTCGCAGCCACACAAGCCACCGCTAGCGCGACTGTCGCGGTGGACACTCGAGGCTGCATCTGCTTCACCTGTCCGTTACTCCCTTTGTTTTCAAGTTGTTCCCGACACTGCGAGTTTGAAAATGCTGTAAGTAGAAGCGACCAGAGAGAGCAGTTTGAGATTGTGAATTAGCCCAGGATTGGCTTGTTGCTTTTCGGAAAGGAACTCTGATGCGAAATTGGAACCATGATCGTCATAGGCAATGGGATTCTTGGCAGCATAACTTACATGTACGTGCAGCCCCAGCGCAATTTCTACAATGAAATACAAAGATGTTGACTTGCGGATTAAAAACTCCTCGCTAGGCTAACACAATGTCCTCAACGAAGGATACATGTACTCACACTGTGCGAGTATTATGCTCCGGTTACCGGTAATAGCAAATCATGGTCAGCACATCTGTATAGGCAGAAGCATGGTTTGTTTTCCTACAGTCTACTGTATCCGTTTATCAACTTTAAAGAGACCAACTCTTTAGGCGTTAATTAGCGCACAATCTTCTCGTTTCATATCGCTGTAAGGAGGTTATGCAAAACCCGCTAACTTGAGGCTCATGCAGCTTGGTATTACATCTCTCCGCTTCTAACCTTGTAGCGTGTCTGTCTGTCTGTCCGTCCGTCTGTCAATCCGTCCGTCGCACTCCCTGTCTTCCTGCTTTGACCTGCCTTCCCGCATGGCTACACCCGGCCTGTCTAATACAGTTTCCTCCCATCCTACCGACCGCGCCTATCTTTCTGACTCGACCTAACTATGCTAAAATTACAATTATATCCAAAAGCGGACACAACTAACTCGCGCCCTGATTGGGCAATACCTGCCGACCTGCGACACTGACTGGATCTGTCGCACGATCAGACCGCCTCTCTCCCTCGCGATTGGACGTAAGATAAACATTTCTGCCGAGCACGAAACGCATCGATTGGCTGCAAACAGCCAGCAGATACTTGATTATTGCATTCAGCTACGCAGAACCTGTCGTATGTACTGCAAATCGGGCACAGTAACCACTTTATTTTCTAAGAGCTCTGCACACCTCTCAAATAGAGATATGTAATATTATTTATGTAGACTTCACAGACCAGTATTTTGTAAGAGCTCTGGGATGTTATTTTCCACACACTTTTCGAAGTAAAGACGATATTAATAGTATTGATATTATTAATTATAAGCTCCACAGGCCGCATTTGTAAGCGCTCGGCAATGCTATTTTCCAAACACTTTCTGAAGTAAAGACGATAGTCTTTTTTTTAATATTAAAGTAGGCTTCACGACCAGCGCTTTTTGTAGGGACTTTGCGATTATATATATTTTTTTACGTCACCTGGCACTCACCACTGCCACCGTGCAATGAAGGCGCGCGGCTGCACGGTCATTGCGCTATCTGCTCCCGTGCACCGCATCTGATGGATGCATGCGCGCACGGTACATAGTGTTTTTAGTCACTTTTATTGCATGTAAAGTATGTATTTGTTTAAATATCTGACAGTATTACTATTAAAGCAAAATATTAAATATCAACTTTTTAATATTTTGTTTTAAAAAATAAATTTCACTCTTACAGTACCGTGCTATTGGCTAATATTTGGACGCAAGTAATTGGTTAAAACAATATAATTTGCTAACATACTCACAATTTGCAAAATGGCGGGCCCTATGTGCAAGCAATGCGAGGCGAAGATTGACCCGCTTCTGCTGAGCCCGCAGCGGTCTACGACGGACCCCCGAGCGCGCTGCATCTGCTGCGGGAAGCTGCAGTACGGCTACGCGTTCCGTACAATCAGCGGGCGGGACATCGTGCGGCGCTGTATTGCCTGCGAGAACGGCCCAAAAGCGGCTGAGTTTTGGGAGGACCCCCCCCCCCACCTGATTCGGCCGAAGTGCGCCGCCAGGAAAGCCTGCCAACCGTCGAGAAAGTGATGGGCCCTGACTGGTACCTCAAGAAGAAAAATAGACACAGCCGCCCTCGCAAGCTGACCGCCCGAAATGTCAGGTACATTGAGCAAAAGAAGCAGCAGAAGAGCAGGTGATTTGAAAATACATCCTTATAGCCCTTACCCCGCATAGTTTTGTATACTGGCTGACGGTGCAAGGCTTGGGGTCGCACATACTGTAAGCTGACTGTGGCGCTACCAAGCGTGTTGACGCGCCTATAGAGCGTAGCGCGCTTCAAAATATAATAAGACATGGAATCAACTGTGCACCGCTGCAAGTTGGTGGTTCCTATCCGCATACGCGTCACCGTAGATGGCACGTACACTCGCTCACGTGGGCACACGCAAAACCATGCTATCTGTACCACCAACGCTCACAGCGTATATTTCATTAATGTGCGCTCACGAATGTAAGCTTCAGTATAAAGTGAGCACTATGCACCGACCAATAAGTTGCTGTCGACATAGACACAAACACGTCTATGGTAGTGTTGACCATACAGGTGTCGTCGCAAGTCGATGTGCCTGTACGCAGTACTGTATTTTAGTTTCCTGTGTATAATGGTCGAGACGAGAGTCCGGTTGAGTCGCGAATGATTATAAGATGTACCCGCCGCGCGCATATTTCGCGCTGACTACTACCTACATACGCGCGGTCAGCTTGCCTGTATCACCGCGGTTATGACCTACGTCCAGTTAGTGGCGCGCTTAAGTGATCCATCAGAAGCGTAGGCGCAGAAAGCTAGCACCACGATGCAAAAGTACCGATAAAGAAACAGTGACCCCATGCATAGGTTGAGCTATCACGAGCGCGTGGCAAATACACTCATTAACGACCTTGCGATATATGCACGGACACATCAAATAGCACGCCGAGCTGATAAGTAGGCAGGAAAAGTACCTCATATAATGTACATGAGCGACGATTCGAATCAAGTCTAAGCATCACTACGATCTGATACTCTGCCTACAGCCATATATCTTCGTATGTTTGTCGTATATATCGGACCCAGTATAATGTCAGTTGGAAAGGATTTACGCCACTTTGTCAGTCAGTAGCTATGCCAATAAGTCAGAAAGTACGTCAGCTATGCAAGTAAGATAAATTCATGCGGAAGATAGTGGAAATACCCTTCAGTAACATCACAAACAGCTCAGCAGAATAATTTCAAAGCATAATATTGATGTTTGTGGCGACCATCGGCATATACTACCTATCCTAAAAGATACTTCGCGCGAGGAGCTGATTAAAATTGCTCTATTAGACCGTCGCAATCGATGATATGTGTCGACTGCCTCACGGCGATGACGTGCAGATGGGTAATATGTTTGAGTAGGCACTTTTA